TCGTTCAGATTTTGTACAAATATTGCAAGCTGCTCCCGTTTACAGTGCATCTCTTTAAATGATTAAGCATCCACAAAATTAAACAGCTTCTTTTTAATACTGTGTGCTATTATGGTCACCTTCAATCTCATTAAATATTTGTGCTAGCGCTTCACAGGGCCCATTGTTCATGGTGTGGCCTGTCCACCTCTTCTTATGCTTGAAAAGCTTTTTACTGTACAAGGAAAATTAAACCTGTCCCAGTTCCCAAATGTGGTCTTTAAAATGCTACCATGTATAAGCCCATCTTAACGTAACAGTTTTGACATAGCTCAGAACTGTAGGCACTCAGAAGAAAATAAATCTGCAGTGTTATGTATCCTCATTTACATGTAAATTACTGAATGGTATGTTTGTCCCTATAGAATTTAGCTAATCCAAAGGAGAAACATTTCCAGTCAATCAGGGAGCAACACAAATAATATTGTCCTGCTGGAGGTGTCTATGTTTAGCTCCACTGTGATTTCTCATCTGGATCCTATGGAGACTCCTTGCATAAACGTAGGGACTGCTGTTATTTTTACGTAATTTCTATAGAAATACAAGTATGATGAATAACTGTGTCTGTGTATATTCTCTCTGTAATGACAATAGCCTTTATGATGCCTTGTTTGTCCAGTTCCTGGAACTGCTCTCTATCTCAAAGTGCAAAACCTGCCAGTTGCTTGCATGACTATTAGTTATCTCTATTCTAAAATAAATAATAATAATAAAACAACCCACTCACATATCTATTCTTTACAAAGAACAAAAGCTAATGAGCTTCCCTAAGTAACTTCAATAATTTTAAGCAATTCACTTGGATGGAAACTTTCTTTCCTGGAAAAATACTTTATAGTAAACGGCAAGCTGACTATGTGACAGATCTACTGCTCTGTTGAGAAGGAGAACATGTTCTCCTGCAAGAGCACAGTAGTATTCCTTATAACCCTACACTCTGCCATCTACTGTGTCCTGGCTCTGGGAATGAACCTCCACTGTGTGCCTGCTGCTGAGCAGCTGGCAGAGAGCATTGAATCATAGAATCGTTTGGGGTGGAAGGGACCTTAAAGACCCCCGAGTTCTAACCCCTTGCCCTGGGCAGGGACACCTCCCACCAGACCAGGTTGCTCAAAGCCCCATCCAACCTGGCCTTGAACCCCTCCAAGGATGGGACATCCACAGCTTCTCTGTGCAACCTGTTCCAGTGCCTCACCACCCTCAGAATGAAAATTTACTTTCTGATATCTAATCTAAATCTCCGCTCTTTCAGTTTGAAGCCATTACCGCTCATCCTATTACTACATGCCCTTGTAAAAAGTCCCTCTCCAGCTTTCTTGTAGGCCCCTTTCAGATACTAGAAGACCATTATAAGTCACCCCGGAGCCTTCTCTTCTCCAGGCTGAACAACCCCAACTCTCTCAGCCTGTCCTCTTCAGAGAGGTTCTCTAGTCCTCTGATCATCTTCATGGCCCTCCTCTGGACTCGCTCCAACAGGCCGATGTCCTTCTTATGTTGGGGGCCCCAGAGCTGGACACAGCACTCCCAGTGGGGTCTCACCAGAGCAGAGCAGAGGGGCAGAACCACCTCCCTCAAGGTGGGAAGTAGCGGGCTCCGGGCTCTGCCCTCTGGTGAGGACATGTGCTGCCAGGCTGGTGGGCAGCTGTAACATGCAGTAGCATTTGCTTTGAACATGGTTCGAAACGGCAAAGTGCACCACTTCACTCCTCCAGAGATGAAGGAAGGAAGGCCCCATGCATATATCTCCTTCAGAAATACCCCTCTGCACGCAGAGGACAGCATGCTGCAAACAGTCCCCTTGACTCCAGCCGAACTTCTGAAGTCTTGGGGACTGCTTCTTGTGACACAGGGGGCAGGACTGAAAACAACAAAGTGCACCACTTCACTCCACCAGAGATGAAGGAAGGAAGGCCCCATGCATATATCTCCTTCAGAAATACCCCTCTGCACGCAGAGGACAGCATGCTGCAAACAGTCCCCTTGACTCCAGCAGGACTTCTGAAGTCTTGGGGACTGCTTCTTGTGACACAGGGGGCAGGACTGAGGATGCTCAGCTGGAAAGAAAAGTACGGTGATTTAAAAACATTTTTGGTTTGGGAATATCACATCAAACCTAGGGAAAAAGTCAGTTCCTTACTAGCTTTTTTTGTGAAAGATATGCCCAACCTGGACTTTTCATTTACCCTGGTTTAGCTGAGTCAAAATATAGAAAGAATGAATCTCTGAATGTTTCCCTTTGACTTTTTACCTCTGCAGTGAATTCTCTTTGCATCTGTGAATAAAAGGTGGCTTTCAGATAAAGGCCACCAACCCGTAACTTCTGCAAAAGCACTTCTGCATGCATGAATAGGAATACAGTATCTTTCTTGACAGTGAGAAAACTGGGACTTCTGGGGATGGGATTGTATAAAGACATGCTACTGGTGTGTCCTAAGCTTTGAGTTAAATGGTATGGGAAGATGGTACAGTTTAAAAAGAGTTAGATGATCCAGAGTAATTTGAAATTTGAGGTTTTATTATGGTTTGTTCTACAGGCAAAGGAAACTGGAAGACTTATTCGGCATTTTCTCATATTTCTTTACTTTTACATTTTTAGTTTACTCAGAAGTTTGTGTCCCTCGTGGTTTGTTGGGGGTTTTTTTGTCTTTTTCTAGTTATTTCTTTTCAGTCCCATATATTTGTTATGTGCTTCAAACTTGTGTGAATGATTATGCAATTTTGTAGATGTTTTCTTCATTAATAAAACATTTATTATTTCTTTGGTTTTTTATTGGATGTTAAACTGGAACACTTATTTGGCTTTTTCTCATATTTCTTTACTTTTACACTTTTAGTTTACTCAGAAGTTTGTGTCCCTCGTGGTTTGTTGGGGGTTATTTCTTTTCAGTCCCATATATTTGTTATGTGCTTCAAACTTGTGTGAATGATTATGCAATTTTGTAGATGTTTTCTTCATTAATAAAACATTTATTATTTCTTTGGTTTTTTATTGGATGTTTTTGAGGTGAAGGGAATCAAGCAAACTAATGCATCTGAAATACTGCTCCTGGTTTCCCCAGCTCCAAAGCCAATGATAGAATAATTTCTTGTTATGTTGTGGACAAGTAGGGGTCTCTTTGAATGGATTCTGATTACACCTCTTCTTTTGAGATGACTGCGTCAATAACTCAATGGACAATAAGCCAATTGTTTTAACAAAAGAGAACATCTCGGGGAGGGGCGGGGAGAGAGAGAAGACTTTTTGAAGCATTATTTCTTTCCTACCTTACCTAATATTTTAAATCCTTATTGTAAAAGCCCTTGCTCTTCTCTGATCTTGGAGTGATTGATATTTTTCTCTGCAACATGTTGAAGTGATCTGGGACCAGTATACTAGCTATTATTTTTGGTGTCAACCAATGGCCAAGTGGCTTTGTCCTTTACAGCCACCTGACAAGGGATTGTCCCCTGCCCTGAAGAGGTCACGCTCCAGAAAAACAGCTCAGAGAGCTTCAGTGCTTTTCTTCTGTCATTCTCATGGAATTCCTTTTCTTGAAGAGCAGTTTTGACAGAGAAATGGTGAAGAGAAGGGATCCTGAGTCCCTCTGGCTGCATGTCAGGAGACAGCAGAGTGGTGGAGCTACTGCCCATGGCTCATCTCAGTTGGCATCTTGGGCTCTGCTTGGGGTGGTTAGGGCCATTTCAGACCCAAGTGATGAGAGAAGATCCGGAAGACTGAATCTAACTCCTGTAGCTCATTTCACTATGGAGAAGCAAAAGCAGCTACTCTGAATCTGTATAAACCAAGGGTTATCATCTTCGTAGGGATTTCTTCTCCTTTCACATTTCCTTGAGCTATATTGCAAGAGCCATCGGGACCCGTCTACCTCCAATGTCTGCCTCTTGCTTATGTGCTGTCTCCAACCTCACAGCCTGTATGCTTGGAGGAGCAAGACAGGGGCTGTTAAAACATTTAATTTTGGAAACTGAGTGTCTTGACCAGAAGGTCTGTGACAGACAATGGCAATGAACTTGCCTTTCCCAGATCCTTACTTCTCTCCTACCACCTTTCCTTCTACCTGTGGGAGCACTGGCGGAGTAAAGCAAGAGGGAGTTGTCTCTGTATGAAGTGGGAGCTTGTAATAATAGAAGTCTTAACGTCTTGCTCCTGTGAGCTGACAATATAAGTATTTAATACAGTGTGCGTCTGCAGCTGTACTGTGTTTCTGGCAGACTTCAGAAACCCAATCCTTCAAAAAGCATAAAACTAATTTAAAATGAAACATTAAATAAAGACAGTTTGGCAGGTCTCTTTTTCTGTTATTGGATTTCTTTGTGGTGATTTTTTTTAAGCTTTTGCTTGAGAAACATGAGAACTAGATAGTTTGGGCTCTTTCTTTTTTTTTTTCCTGTGAAAAAATAAGCTGAGATTCTCCCCTAATTATGGAGCTTCAGAATCCGTGACACCAAAGATCACCAGAATGACAGTGTGTTCCTGAGATTTGGCAGTGTTTCAGAACAAGAAAAAACATGTGTTGAGGAGTCAGTTTGCTTGGTATGATATCAGAGGCCTGTAATGGAGCTGTTACCCACGCCCCTTTTCCTCTTCTAGCAGTATAATTAAACAGTTAACACATTTCAGAAATAATGGAATAATTAATGTAATTAAGCAGGGCTTCTTTCACAAGCGAAGAGCATGGCAAAACAGCACTGCTGCTTCTCTAACATCAGAAGCGTCTCTTTATTTTCACCTGCGTCTTTCACCTGTTTAGGTGAAGGTAAAGGGCAGGGCAAAGTTTCCAAAATTGCTCAAAGTGCCATTTCCAAAACCAGTACCCCCCCCATCAGCGTGTGCGTAATTGGGAAATCAGTGATCTTTGGACTTCTCAGGTGGGGAAAATGACGCTTAGGCCATTTTGAAAATGTTTCCCCGTATCTGCCCCGGCTTTTATTCTGCTAATCCAACGTGTTCATTTAAACAGACCTCTCCCTCGGATGAGGCGAGCAAGAAGCAGCTTCTAATGCCCCACCGCCCGTCGGTGGACCACTCGGATGAACCCTTTCAGAGGCAGAGGGCAGTGAGCGCCGTCAGCATCATCACCAGTGCCCTGGAAGGTAAGACACATCTTTCATTCCCCAACTCAAAGCCACGTTGACGGGCAGGGACAAGTGACACAAAAGATCCTGATACCAAACTCTTGCTGTTTTGCTAGAAGGCATTATAGATAGTTATTCCAACCCCTACAATATAGCTGAAGCTGTAACAGAAGGTAATACAATCACTGAATTACTCATGCGCTTGTAAAAAATCTGACAAAATGCTGGCCATATAATCAAAAAGTCAGATCTGGTAATATTTTGTGCCTTAGCGTCATTTAATCAACACAAGGCTAACCAAGATGGAGCGTCGCGGAGCACCAGTCTGTTTGGGTGACTGTACATACATTTACATCTCATCTCTCTGGAGCTGATGGCATGTGCAGTCACCAGCTATGTGCAGAACTTCCAAGTTGTGGGGGAGGAAAGTGTCCTCCTTGCAGAGCAGCTAGTGGGACACAAGAGTTTGATGAGTGTTCGAATCCCACAGTGAAATTTAAAGAGGCTCAAAGGACCCATTTGTCCATGCAAATATTTGCCAGTGAATTTTTCCATTGCTCATTAGGCTTCTTATTAGATGCAGGAGGATTTCTCTTCCCCGCCTTGCCATAGTCGGGAATTTTGCATTTCCCTTTCACAAGTTTATTGATAGCAAGATGACAGCTCATAGCAAGACATCACATTTCTAGGCTCTTTACATGCAGCACGAAAGTAGTTCCTCGTGTCTTCTACATTGTAAATTGAGACAAGATAGAAGGTAACAACTGAGAGTACAGAAAAATGTCTGTCAAGGACACAGTGTGAAGCAAAGGAAATTCTGGATTCTCCTGCAGCCTTATTCTCTGTGTCGCAGATGAATGGGAAGGCAAGATGAGATGGAGGGACTTCTCTGGGAGATGCATTACAGAAAGGGACTGAACCTAACTCTTCGGAGACAGCCCAGCATGTAACCACAAAGCCCTTCTTCTTCCTCAGATTTTTACCATCCCCCATGGTTATATTCAGCAGTATCGTGGCCAGAACAGATATATATATATATGTTTAAATAAATAAAGAGTTGTATTCTTAATAGGTAAATAATCACTTCAGTGTATTCCAGTGTTTAGTGTAGTCTGCAAAGGTTTTACTTCATTTCTATGGGGGTTTTAGCAATTAGCTTTGTGGTTGATTTGCTTCTTAGTAATGTATTAAGAATGCCTAAAAGGCCTTCCTTCTGCTTATTTATTTAATGGTGCTTTCTATTACTTTTTACCACAGAAATAGGGACTGTCAAGTCTCGGGTAACTCAGAGGATGTGCGTTTTTAGCCTCATAGAGAAGAAAAGTGTTCCAACCCTTATGAAAGGTTTTCTGACTCCCAGACTTTAATTAGTCATTGAAATTGAATACTTGTTAACAAGAAGAATATCAAATCAGAATAAAACGTATCACAGACTTTAACTATAATAATAGCTGTACGATTTGTGACAAATTGTGTGAAACAGCCATGCCAGAAATCCCTTCCCCTTTAGTTACCTGGCTTCTGCTCTTGGCACTTGGGTGGTCATCACCTGCCTCTTATTCCCAGACATTGCAAAGCCTTGCAGACAAGGAAGGACCTAGGCTTTCTTATTTTTCTCATTTAAAAATAAGAGGAAAAATACCTCCAACACAAACTTTGTGGTTTTCTGACCATTTTTTTTTAAACAATATAAAGTAGCAGAAAAGACCCCAGATGAATTTAATTTTACTTTTCCTTTTGAAGATGTCTTTCAAAAAATATTAAATCTGTTGTGATTTCCAAAGGCCAGTCATGGTGGGGGAAGGATGTGGGTTCTTGATTGATTTAAACTATTTTAATGCCACATCACTGACAAAAGAGGACAGTCACGCCCTCCTCCTCCCTTTGCTGTGCTCCTGCAGTTTGATTAGACAAGCAATTGGTTTTCAGCAGCTGCAGGTTGAGCAGAACTAGCTCAAGCAGAAGCTCCAGGAGCACAAAAGCTGTCAAAAAGACAGAGAAGTAACATGTGGCTGAGGCTCAAAGGGATGAAACTACCCCTTTTAGCAGCAACCTGGACTTAGAAGGGCTTGTGTCAAGTGTGGAGCCTCAGGGAAACGACTCACACATCTGATGTGTGTCAATCATGAAGGTCCCAAAATTATTAACAGTGGAATAAACAGGGTTGGTTGGAAGTGATTATGAGCAATGTGGATATAGATAGATTTGTTCTTCTGGATTTACCTGGAAAATTATGTCCTTTAGGAATTAACTGCCCCAAAGTCTTTACTACTTTGAGGTGAGTTTCTGAAAAAGTGTAAAATTAGGATTTTTTATAGAAAGTGTTTGTAGTATGGATGGTTCTCACATCATTTTAGGCACTTAACCGTAAACTATCTGTTTGGAGGTGGAAAGACATAATTATTTTTGGGGAGCGATTTGGCTTCCCAGAGATCTTGGAGCTGTGTAGATGTTTATGCAAAATCTGGAGGACATCATCTGATATTAAGAAAACTTGGTAGAAGACACCTAATACCACAGTTCTGTTGGCCAATGAAGGAAAATGCCCAGTGAATGCATCCTGGCTTGAGAGAGGAGGCTGTTTATAAACTGATTGAAATAACAGCCTTGGCTGAAGTTTTCCTGTTATCAGTGCAGGTTCTAATTATATAGACTAAAACCGTTATACAGCATTCCATGCCTATAAAGGAATCAGAAAAGGAAAGCATTAAGCAATTCCGCTAACCATTATCATTCAGCCATTAACTGTCTTTTTTAGCTTTTCTTTTTCACCATTTATTACTAGTTATACTTATGAAGCTATTTCACTTCTTTTGTGCTCATATAAAGTGAACACATAAAAGTTGTATTTTAGGCAATATTTTAAAAGCACCTTTAAAAAGCACTGGAGGTTTAGCAGCATTTTCAAACTGACTTATGGACTCCCCTGGTTTTGTATTTGGGCCTTTCAGAAGAAATGAGAATCTTAATGCCTTTTTGGATTGCACATCAAGAACAGAATCCCTATTGATAACCACTGATGCTTTGGCTCAAAAGTACTTAAATCAGCTTTAAATATTGAATTTAAGCTCTTTCATCTCTTAACCGCTTTAAAAGGTATCACTTAAGATACTTCTAAAATGGGACTTGGGAATGTTAAATGAAGATAGTGTATTCTTATCCATTTAAGCTTGCCAAAATGGAAAACAGAGTAAGAATCCGAGCCTATATATATTTTACTAGACTTTACATATTTAGTGTGATTCTCCCTTTTGGCTTGTGATGCTTTTAAAAGGTTATTACTTTCAGAATAGGTCACTCTCTGCTAAGTGCAGGTCAGCTGGCAAAAACCTCAAAGTGTGTAATTTGCTAGCCTGTTAGACATGAATATTTTTATCCTAAAAAAAAAAGTTTGGGGTAATTCAGAGGCCTTCCTCTACATTATGAGTCATTTTAAGCGAATATTTTTATCAAAAAAAAAAAGTTTGGGGTAATTCAGGGGCCTTCCTCTACATTATGAGTCATTTTAAGTGTTCTCTTGTCATGTAACTCAGTGTGAATTGACTGTTACTTTACTGCTTGTGACTTAGAGCTGGAGGAATCACACCAGAAATGTCCTCCCTGCTGGAACCACTTTGCTGTTAAATTTCTCATTTGGGATTGCTGCCCGCTTTGGCTTTTAATCAAGAAATTTGTCAAGTTTGTGGTAATGGACCCATTTACCGACCTCACCATCACCCTTTGCATTGTGCTGAACACGCTCTTCATGGCCTTGGAGCATTACAAGATGACGAAGGAGTTTGACCACATGCTTTACATAGGCAATTTGGTAAGTGAATGGGAACTTGAAGTGCTACCTGAGGAGTCGATTTCCTGCTTTGTGCAAAGCAGGGAAAAACAAAACAAAACAGACCTTGCTTATTTTTTTAATAAGTTTTGTCTGTGACTTGGGAGTACCTCTTTTTGATATGCTGTCAGCATCACTTGGCCTATGACATATCAAGCAAGTCCACATAGTCACCTCTTTCTGGGGGTGAAGAAAAATGAATGAAGGACAAGGCTCCATTTTTAATTAAATTAACATATTCCAATGTTATTAGTAGTCATTAAAGCCATGTTTCTGGGTTGCTCCTGATAGGTATCTGGCTTGTAACTGTTTAAGGAAATAAGATAAAGATTAATGAGGTTTATTTGGGATTTCTGTTAAAGCAATGATAAGGCAGCAGTTCTTGGTGACTAATAGTGACTTTTAAGTTAAAAAGAACCAACAAAAAACACAGAAAAAACCAAGGCAAGATCTTAAAGAGAGTGATATTTCAGCTTATGTAGATATGTATGTGGCAAGGTGCCTATGGTACATTTGCTGTATGCCCCTCTCTGCCCTGCTCTGCCTCCCTGCCTTGCCCAGCGTTGTGTGCTGGGTCCTGTGCAAACCCCCAAACCCCAGGGCAGAGGGGACAGGGGACAAAGCCCAGCTGATGCTTGGAGGGGAAACTCTTAATGTGCAAGCTGGAACAGCCGGAGAGAGAGCTGCAAAATCAGCAGAGACTGCACCTCTCGGAGGAAAAGCAGCCTGACAGATCTACAGCCAAGCTGCAGGGGCAGCAGAAAAACCTTTCCAGAGGCGATGTGGTCCAATTTGTTAACCCAGGGGGCCACTAAAATTCTGCAGCTACTACAAAACGGAAGCTTTTTCTTTAATTGTCTTTCTCTGTGTTTGTGTTTGAAAGTTACTGTTTTACTGTTTTAAAGCATAACGTTTAAAGCCCTTTTAATTTTAGAAATGCTCTGTATTGGAAAAGGCACATGCCATCTAGCTATGGCGTGGTGGAATTGCCCCTAAGATCTAGTGGTAGAAGCAGAGATACCACAAATAAGTCTGGAGTACCCTGGAATGTGGATGCTGCCAAGTTTAAATTTGAGGAGCTCATAGCGGAGATGGGAAAAGCCCTTTATTTCTATAAAACAGAAAGCTGCAATAACTCAAAGTGGGATTCAGCTTCCCTAACTTCAGGTATTTACAGCGGAGGAGTCTCTGTCAGAGCTGGTTGCCTTTGTCACACTTTAAAGTCAGTGGAGAGTAATGGACAATTTTAAGGCACAATTAATGCGATGTTTTAAAGACGTTTACTTTTGGATAAGGTGAACTGTGTCCTGGAGGTCGGTGACTGTAGTGAACATTGACTATAGTGGTCGTACACAGAGATCCTACGGGTGTGACATCTCTTTAGTGAGACACATCCTACACTGGCAGGTTTAGGTGGACAGTAGCAATAATCAGATTTTTTGTATCAGCCCTAGACTATGTGGTACATCCCATATGGATTTTTTTCTTTACCCTGGTACCTATTTTTAGCTCTGGGCCTCCTTGGGCAGGTTGAGGTTCTTCTCCTAGCCTGTGGGACCAGTCTCCAGTTTTTCAGCCGCTGTGTTTTGGCAAATCTCCCTCTTTTGTTGTGCTAAGCAAAAATCTGTTTGGGTCTCTCTTGCTTCAAACCCATGTTCTTGCCCTCTGGAAAGCAGGAGAGAAGGATAGCTCAGACAGCCATCTCACAGGACTGTGTCCAGCTCCCCTTTGCAGCCAGCTCTTGCATGGGGTTGTTGTTCAACAAGTCGTGGGGCTGTCACTCAACAGTTCGTGGCCTTCTGAGAAGACTTTAAAAAAGTTCTTCGGACCCACTATCCATCAGAGCAGGTGGCAATGCTGCTGTTTCCCCTTCTGGCACTCCGGATAGTAAATGTGTCTGGTCCTTGGTCTCAGCAAATCAGCTTTTGCCTTTGCAGACCACAGGCGGTGAAACTTTAGCCCCTGGCATCCCTCCTGCCAAGACAGGTCCTGCTGATCTGCTGGGGTTGAGCCAGGTGACAACAAGGAAGTGGAGACAACGAGCAGGGGAAGGAATTGCAAAGCAAATTTTGGAAAAAAAAAAAGACTCACTGTGAGTTTCTCAGCACTGCTTAGAGCTATTTCTCCTCTTTGTGCTAAAGTGTAAAATAAGCAAAACAGCCCGCTAATATTTTTTGTAGCAGGCTGATGGCATGGGGCTCCCCTTACTGAGATCCCAGGATGGATCGGTGAGAGGCCAGACCATCCCAGGTCCCCCTCGCCAGCTTTACTAAAGCCCTACATAAATGGATTGATTGTGAGTAGAGCAGGTCAGAAAAGGTAATTCCATTTTGTGGAGGATTTTGCAAAGTCATTTGTAATGAAAATTGACTTTTCTTTTTTTTTTTTTTTTGCAATCCCCTGTGAAAGGGAAGGAACTCCCAGCTCCAGGGCAGGCTGCCAGGTGACAGCATCCCTGAAGCCACAGACTGCCAGACCCCTCCTCTGCCCCCACACTGGCTGGCTGTCATCTTCCCATTCCATCTAACCCTCTTTGAGTGATTATACTAGCATTAAAGGGTGGGTGTGGGGGGGAATATTAAAAAGGGCAGATCTTTGGCATTTTTTCCTCAAAACAAATTTTTTTCTGAGAGAATGAAAGAATGAAAGTGGAATATGGATTTGCTTTCTCTGAGAGCAATTCTTCGTCTGCTGCCAGTCATCAGAGATCTCCCGCTCTGATTGTCCATCTACTCATGCAGCATCTGCTACCTTCAGACTCCTTTAGTTCATCGCTTACAGGAATCAACATTTTCAAATGTGATCAGAAGACTGGCCAAGCACACATACATCTTTATGCAGTTCATCTGTCTTTGCAGTGCCACCACTTAAAAAAAGAAGTAGATAGAGCAAGATTCTCCTAAATTTTATTTTCCTTTGGAAACTGAGATACTGTTATATAATATCAGAGCTTAAAATTTTTTAAGACAAAGTACTTCAAACCAGCGGTGGCATATTTAGCACCAGTGGGATGTTAAGTTACTTGTTTTCCTTCCACCCTTTATCATTTTGAGTGTCCAGCCTCTTGTACCAGCGCAGTTGCCGCGTGCCAGGTGCCGGCGATTTGACAACTGCCTTTTGAAATTCGTAGCTGGTGCACGTACGCGATTCCCGATGCCTTCAGGAAGGCTCAGACATTTTGCTATCTTACTGTGACATTTCCTTCTCCGAAGGCTATTGATTAAAATGATTCAGGCAAAGAAAGTGATCCTCCTGAGTCATTTCTCCGCGAGACGGTTGCATAATGTAGGCAGCGTGGTATCGTGGGTTTTAAGGCAGTCCCCTGGACACAGTTTCACACACATCCAGTTTTGTCTTGTTCTCTGTCCTAAGGGAAACTGGAGCATTCTGGTGGGAATCTTGGGTCCTCTCTGACCCCTGGGACTCAGAAATTGTTGGCTAATTAGAAATATGAGACAGGGCGTTTTGTTGGGTTCTTGGTATGAGACAGTGATGGGGTGAGAGTCCAAAATATTGCAGCCCAAGGTTTTATTTTCCTGATGAGAAAGAAAAGGTATTTTACATAAAGAATTGTGCAAAATGGCTACTTGGAAGAATTAATTCCTGAAGCATTCCAAAGTAAAGCCAAGCCTTCTTTTGACAACGCAAGCTATGATAATTTATTTTTACTCCTTCATATCTTAATTATATAATCTTAACCTTTCACTTCCAAATCTTAAGGGGTTTCTCATCTTTGTGGATCAGAGTTTATCTGGTTTGCTGGATACTACCATGAATATTTAACTAATTGGAAGAAAAACCTTTCTCCTTGACTGTGAGCTCTGATTCACCGCTTTTTTTTGACCTATAGGGTGCATTGATATTGGCCATTTTGTGGAAAAACATTTGCTTTAAAATATTAGTGCAATAGAGAGTTTTTCAGAAACACAAAGCTCTGTGCACTTTGTACTGAGACTTGGAACAAAAAGAAAACAGTATACGAAGAACTTGATGCCCACATTTTGTCATTTTAAGTTGACTGTAGCCTTGCGTTGTGCATTTAAACTGGTACTTCAGAAGATTATAAGAAAGGACAAGATTTGATTCTCCGAGATACTTTGCAGGAATGTGTTAAAACTGAATTTGCTGTCAGCAGCTTTCTTTTTACCTCTCCCTCTGCTTCTTAGGTAATATTTATATGTTGTTTTAAAGAAAAATGTTCCAATTAGAACTTCCACCATATGACATTTGAACTGGGTCATAAATAAGCAATGTGTTCCCAAGTTGCTGTGAAAAGAAAATTGCTGTGACTATTTGTAAAAAAACAGACTAGGACTCAAATTAGAGTTTCTAATCACCTTCAGTGCCAGCAATAACCTCAGAAAGACTGGGGGCTTGCGTTGCCTTGGTATTGATAATAATAACAAAATAAAAAGGGATAATACAGCAGGTACACTACAACCCAAATACCCCTTTAACACTCCCACTCCATTCATTTGAGTTTCTCCACTGAAGTGAATTGATTTAACCTTTATAAAAGGCACCTTTACACTTTGCTTTTTACCACTGGGATTATTCAGATGACGGAAGGAGATGGAAATGTATGTTCCAATCCAGAGCTTGAACACAGATGTCATTGTAGGTTTACAGCAGTATCAAATGTTATTATGAAAAGACTAGACAAAGTTGTAATACTGATAAAGAATCAGCCATGAAAAATAAAGTATTTGCTTGCAAAATGCACTTGGCTTTCTGCTGTATTCCCCTGTGTCAGTGGAAAGTCCACAAGCAAGGAGGTGTGCTTAAAAGGTTACTTTGACTCCATATTTTCTTTCTGCAGGTCTTCACTGGGATTTTTACAGCAGAAATGATCTTCAAAGTAATTGCCCTTGACCCCTACTACTATTTTCAGCAGGGCTGGAATATTTTTGACAGCATAATTGTTATACTGAGCCTGATGGAACTGGGTTTGTCCAGCATGGGAAACCTGTCTGTTTTACGCTCCTTTCGATTGGTAACAGTCTTATTCTGTTCTTACTCCTCTTCTTTGATTATATATAAACTCTGACATGAATGCCACATATTTTCTTAAAAACGCATCTGCCGATAAAGACTTTAATTGCTGCAAACTGGTGAACAGTACGTGACACTAATTATAGGCTGCAGGATAAATGTAATTGTTCCAGATTTACATCAGGGTAAATGAGAACATAATTTGATTCCTTCTAGCTGCACCAGGTACTTGTGGCACACTTTAAAATGTTTGAATTCCAATTTGTAATAAAAATCTGCCATTTTATACCTGTACACCTGTTAGCATAGTCAGCAGATAATTGATAGCCCAAGAAATGCTAGAGCCAGTAACTTGTCATTTCAGACATTGTTATTCCTTAAATTATGTTATAAACATGCCACCGTTCTTTTAAATGTTGTCAAAAGAAAATGTCTTTGAATTATTCACGGAGTAATTTTTTTTTTTTTCTAGAACTGATCAGTATAACATAGCATCTGTCTTTCACGGGAACTCCTTAGCTGTCAGCTCCTTTGTTATGCATGGGATAGTGCTATTCTATTAATGAGAGACTGTCGACATATTGGAACAGAAAAGTAGTTTCCTTGCCAGCCTGACATTTGTGTTGCACTTCATGTACCAGGATGTCCAAGCTAATCATTCTGGCCATGATATGGGTTCACAACTTGGAAAGACCAGGAAAATAAGCCCTTATGGTTGCATTGAGCGGAAGAATTTTTAATTTTTTTTTTTTCCAAAATTCTCTGGCCTGCTCAAAATTACAAATTTTTCACCATTGCTGCTAGGTCCTGAGGGTCTCCTGTCAGCTTTTGAGCAATCCCTCTTCAATAGGGCTGAAATTAAACCTTCAGTTGAAAACACAGCACAAGGGCTAGGAGCCATTTACATCCTTAAAATAGGTCTTAAGTGGGATGTGGGTTGTGCACAGGCTGCGTGATCCTCAGCACAGAGGTGATTTTCACCCTGGGAGCTAACAGCTAATAGCATCTGGCTGAGGCTTGCTCTGAAACATACAGGAATTGCTTCTCTCTTTGTAGGATCAAACCCTAAACCCCTTCCCCCCGGTTCCTGCCACGCTGTTTAATTTGAGGAGGAGAAACAACAAAAAGGAAAATACCAAGATTTGATATTTCCTCCTTCCCTCCTCCACCCAGCATGATATCAGAGGAAGGAGCCCCTAAAAGCATGTCTATTTAATAAGGCAGGGCATAGCTCTGGAAAACTTAATTCTCATCCAAGAAGCCCAGCTGATATTTTATTAATAGATGAAGTGAGGTTAACAGGAAGTATGGCTAAAATCACCTTGTACTGCACACACTGTGGCATTTAACGTCTTTCACATGTTACCCACTTTAATAATTCATCGGCTGAAATGTCTGTTGCTTCTGTGAACTGACACTTGTTTATGTTTTGTTCACAGCTGCGAGTCTTCAAATTGGCAAAGTCCTGGCCGACCTTAAATACGCTCATTAAAATCATTGGTAATTCAGTGGGTGCCCTCGGTAACCTCACTCTTGTGCTGGCAATCATCGTCTTCATTTTTGCCGTGGTGGGAATGCAGCTTTTTGGGAAAAGCTACATGGACAATGTGAAGAAGATAAGCACAACCGGCAATTTGCCACGGTGGCACATGAACGATTTCTTTCACTCATTCCTCATCATTTTCCGAATTTTGTGCGGGGAGTGGATTGAGACCATGTGGGACTGCATGGAGGTAGCTGGGCAGCCGCTGTGCCTTCTCGTCTTCTTGTTGGTCATGGTGATAGGCAACCTGGTGGTGAGTTCTCAAGATATTTTTTTTCTTCCTTTCCTGGTGATATGTGCAAATGTACCATTTTTTTTTATTCAGAAATGGCAAATCTCACGTTGCTCCCTGGCTCTAATTCAATGAACCAATTTGTCACCTAGAGAAACTTGTTCATATCCCAAATACACAATCGCCAGCATTGCATTGCTAATTAGGAATGAAGGCTTACTGGTTTTTTGCAGAAAAACTTATAATGTTTTACTGGAAGAAAGGCATATAATAATAATGCTTATAATAATGGTTATAATGCTTTTATTTCTTAAGCCATTCATGGGGCTGAAGGGAGTCCAGATCTCTTTTCTTTACATCAGTGAATACCACCTCAACCATCACTGGAAGGGGGATATTTTTATTTCCCTTCAGTTTTGGTCCAGAACAGGTGAACCTTACAGCTAGTACAGTGTCTTTGAGTGGAGTTTCGAATGTCTTTAGCCTGTGTGTTCTAGGAAGCTGCAGGTTGCATTTACAGTAATGTCACTTGCTCGCTTGCTTTCTTAATAGACTATCCCATAAGCACGGGTTGCATAAGCCCTGAACCTATTAAGACTGAATTGTATTTCCCTGTTGACATCTTATGGAGCGCTTTGCTGGCTTGCAGTCATTGTGGAAACGTTTCGCCTGTTCAGCTTACAGAGCATCTTTGACATCGTGGCTCTAATGGGCTTACTGTTTATGTAGAGAGTTGTTTAATAGTAGATGCTGCTATAAAAAATGTTGGATTTTGCTACCGATTGCTTTTAGTGGTTGTTTTCCTTTTAAGTACCCGACGTTTTGGTTCTCAGCTGCTGGGACAGAAAAGTTCTTGAAAGAGCTTGTAGAAAAACAAGGCACATTTTTTTGTTTACATTAGTTTAGATTTTAACAGTTAAATTTGCACTGAAAATGTTGATTGCAAGAGCAAATTGTATTTTATAGGGCGTTTTTTTATAAATCAAAGATTATGATTACTCAGAAAGTGGCAGAATACTTATGTTTTTTTTTCCCTAACTTCCCATTTCTATAGATTTGTTGGGAACTAAATGTGAGTAGAAGAGTTAGGCAAATCATTACTTTCTACACACTTTTTTTTGATAGTTTAGCCTGAGATCCAGAAACTTAATCTCCCCCTGCCGTTAAGCAATGGGTTCTGTGCATGATAATGAAATCTGAATATAATACCTAATAAATTCTGGGGAAAATGTTAACATTTGAATTATTAATGGATTATTGAAAGATGTGAATTTGCAACATCTGATTCCCTAAGACATTAACACTCATCAGTGTGCATAAGTTCTGTTAAATATAAAATCTGATTCAGAGGAGTTTGCACTGACATTATCTACATATATTTAACCATCAGTGCTCAAATAAGACAGTCCCAAGTGTAAAACCATATGTTGAAAACCTCTATCAGCCTGGAAAAGCTGAAGTTACTGGTCAACTGAAAGCGAAAATGCTAGCTTTATCCTTTTCAGCCAATGGTTCTGTCAGCATGCAGCAGTGACTGGTGAATAGGAATGATTATTGTCTGGAGATCGCTCAAAAAAAAAAAAAAAGGAAATGATTCATAGGTGTGAAAAGAACAACAGATTCTGAATCATGAGACTCATCCAGAGTCAACTGCCTTACACCAAGATTTTGTGATGTTGATTAGCAGGTAGCGAGGAAGTCCTCTCATTCCTCTGGCATCAGCCAAATTCTTGCTTTCTTCAGGTAGAGTGAGTTGAATTCATAAACTCACTTGTTTGTTGAACATCATCAGGCACAAAAAAATCTGGTATCCAAAAAGCACCATAAACCCTTTGATATAAGAAGATACAGGTGCTAAATCTTTTACCTGTAACTCAGTTGCATTCTGTGCAAGCAGAGCTTCTCTTTTAACTTGCTGAGATCCTTGCTCCTCCTCTGAGTTTTAAGAGTCAAGTTTCAAGAGATAAGAAAAATGTTACCCTGAGGTGGTATCTCATTTGGACTCTGGAGGTTTTCTTAGTCTCTGAAGGCATGCAGGAAATCCTGTATCATTTTTCCCAGTGTAGCAGATCTGCAGACTCATCTAGATTAAATACCTTTATCTGTTGCGTATGTCGGTACTTATGGTAGTGTCTGTGGTCACTTTCCCAACTGCAAGGCTCTGCACTACAGAGCAGACCTGCTCTTTAACTACCGTAAAGTAAGGGCTGCAAACTGGTGTTGGAAGGGTTACAACTGCTGTGATTCTGTGGCACGTTCAGCGATTTGGTTTGCAGGTCTTACCGAGCCTCACTGACATAAATTTGAAGGCACGGTGGAAGAAAAACCAGGAGAGTTAGTATGTGCCCTGGGCAACTTCACATTACAGGGCAGTCCAGCTGTTGAAAGGAATTTTAGTAAGTCTTAACTCTTTGGTTTGTATTCATATATCCTGAAAATGTGTTGGGCCAGTGCAGGGCCACATGAAGCTGTGTTTGCTGCTGGTCAGCTGATGTTTGAGTCATCTTCAAAGTACTAAACCTTCCAGCACAGTTGGAAAATCATGTGTTGTGTAACTGCCTTTTGCACAATAAGACCGTGCTGCTGTTGTCAGAAGGTGTTTTTAGAGTCATTGAAGCTGCTTTGGAAGGTAGAGCCAAACGAGACAGATAATAAAATAGTTTCTCACTCCTTTGTAAGACAGAGCTTCTGAAATTGCTCACTGAATAATTAATTATGCTTACTGTTAAGCTTTATAAAGGGCTTAACGTATTTCCTACGTACTTCTATGTTACTGAGGTGTAATTAATTATGCTACTGTTAAGCTTTATAAGGGCTTAACATATTTCCTACGTACTTCTATGTTACTGAGGTTAATAAGGAAAATTACTGAGACAGGAATTATCAAGAAGATGTAGGGGAATTCAGGTGGTGAGGCAGTCCCCAGTGCCCCCTGCTCTGCTGGGTCAGCCCATGCGAGAGACCAGCCTGACACCAGCCACTTCTCAGGGGACAATCGTGTGTAATGGGCACTAACAACCTGCATGAATAAAACTGACACTTCAATCACAGAAGGAACAACCTTCCAACCTCATTGTGTGTGCGTGACGTGCGCTGGCCAAGCCACCCTTTTATTCTTCTCCCGAACACCTGGATGAAGCCTGTTTTCTACCAGCTTTTCCTGGAATGCCACTAAATGAAGGGCAGAAATACACTCAGTGTCTCTGCCCATGCTCTGATTCGGCTGTATATGACACAGATGGCACCCATAAAGCATCAGTTAGTGTTAACCCAAGACAGCCGCCACAATGTATTAACCCACACTGAGATTCTGGACTGCTGTTGTCTTCAAGAATCACAGAATCACATGGGGTTCGAAGGGACCTCCGGAGATCATCTAGTCCAATCCCCGCTGCCAAAGCAGGTCAACCCAGAGAAGGTTACTCAGGAACTTGTCCAGGTGGGTTTTGAACATCTCCAGAGAAGGAGACTCCCCCACCTCCCTCTGCAGCCTGATTTACATCCCCATGTACCTCCATGGCACATCCACCACCGTTCCCCGATCCACCACAAGCTGGTAATTCACTGCTGCATTTCCATGGTGGATTTCGTGTTCCTGGAGTTACAAGCACGCCTGTGTGTGTGTAGGTGTAGGGTGTAGGTGTAGGGTAAGGTGTAGGGGCTGTCACCAGGGAAGTGACATCTTCAGAATTTTTCTGAAAGGTGAAATAAAAGGCTGTAAGTGCTCTTTTAGGATCAGTCCTAGGGATTTTTTTTGTCTACTGTCCATGGAAATGTTATTCACTCAGAAAAATATTAATGACAATTTCTGACAACACAAAGGTAGAAGGAATCACAAATTGCTAGGGTATCAGTCTATCCTCTAGGAAGAATTGCATAACCATTATCACTGAATTAATGCATGATGCATGGAATTATGAAATACAAAGTGTAAGGCCATGCACTCGGCCCTATTTAAGAATTTATGTTATGATCCAGTAGCTTATCAACAGAAAACATTTGAGAGGATAATAAAAGTATATGTATCACTCACTGTGGACATCTACATCTGAGATAATTTCGTGGAGATGCCTTTGCAGTCAGATCTGGTTAATGGAGCCTGTGAAGTCATAAAATATCTTACCCAAAAAGACGTTTAATGTCTGTATTTTAACATCAGATTAAATAGACCCCAAAAGTTCCTATTTCAGTCCCTGAAGTCTTGGGAGGAAAACTCAGCTGTAGATACCCACAAGTTCATATCACTCTGGCTTATGGAGCCAGTACAATATACCAATGCACCAATATATTGCACCCATTAAAAAAGTAAATAAGATTCTAATACATATTACAGATACCTAATACAGGTAATTACAGAGGAGAAAGGAGAGTATCAATGCTGTGGCACAGTGATCTGCAATACTGCATGTGCAATGCACCCCATTAATGATGCTCAAGGAAGATGAAGCACTGCTGGGAAAAGTACAGTATGGGAATGTGATGTTGATGAAGGGAATGCAGAGCTAGGCATGAAAGGAGAATAGTTTCAGCAACAAGATACTGCTCATCCCATAACAAAGGAGCATAAATCACTTTAGGAACATTTTGGCTGAGATTGGAAAGGAGGGTTATGACTATCAGCACAGTGAGCTTGTTTAGAAGTGCATTCCAGCAAGACTGACTACCCCAAAACAGGCAGTGTGAGAGATAGAGCTTGATTAGTTTGTGAGGGACACAACCCGTGTTAGCAGGGAGGTTGACCTGGTGATCTGAGAGGACCCTCCAGTCCTGTCTTCCTATGAGATTTTGAGTGCCTGGCAGCAGAGCTGCTCAGCATGGTTTGGATGAGAACTGGAGTGTCCTGCTTTGGTTAAACTCAGTGGAAAGTTTTCTCTGAAAATGTCGGATACATCTAGAATCCCTCCTGTTATTCTGTTTCAACATCTCAGAAAACCTTGATGGATACTTCTTCTGTTTTAACATGGCCCATGACTGACACACAAAAATCTGGAAATGCCACATTCTTGAAAATAAGATGTTTG